AGTCAAGAAGTTGCACTTATTCGCTCCACAACGTATTAATCCTCAACGCATTTTTGTTATCCGTTTTTGTTCTTGTTTTCGTTTTGTTCTGTAATAGTTTATAAATAAATAAATGTTACATAAAAATAGTAGTGGTGATCAGAGTTCAAACCAATAGTATTCTAGTTCCTGATTCTTGCCGCTACATTAGTATTAAAAACATTTATAACCTTATTTACGAGTCTGTTTTTAAAGTCCAATGGGTGAATGTGAGAATATTTTATGCATTTTTCAATACTAATATTTTTATTAGAGATTATATATATATATACGGTGTAAGTTTTATTGTAGATTGCATTCGATATTTGACGTATTTCATTTACGAACGATGTATAAATACTGAAATGTATAAACATGATATTTACAGATAATAGTTTAATTACTATCATTGATCAATTGTGTAGCATTATTGTCCGTTTTGAATCGTAACATATTATTATTAAGAATCACTAAAAAAATATGGCAGAAAATTTTGAAAGAGATATTCCTCCCATGTATACAAATAAGGAACAAAAAACAGTTGGTCAGCCACTCTCTGATTTCCTCTTACAATTAGAAGACTATACACCAACGGTATTAAAAATTTCAGCTATTTCTATTATTTGATCTATTTTACTATTAATTATTTATTATTCTAGGTACCTGATGCTATTAGCGAACATTATTTGCACACTGCTGGTTTTAATACTATCGATCCTAGAATGTAAATATATAAATTCTGCTATCTAACAAATAGCTTAATAATAAAATACAAGTAATATATGTATTAATAAAAAGCTAATAGTAATATCTTTATCCTTATAGAGTGCGTTTAGTATCATTAGCTGCTCAAAAATTTATATCGGAAATTGCAAATGATGCTCTTCAACACGGCAAAACACGTGGTGCTAATCAAAATACAAAAACCAAAGGAAAGGATCGACGTTATATGCTTACTATGGAAGATCTGACTCCTGCAGTTGCAGAATACGGCATCATTGTTAAAAAACCACATTACTTTGTTTAAATAAAATCAAATATATTCCTTATTAAAAAATTAGTCTTTTACTATAAATAGTTTATGAAAACATTTTTAATATCGTGACAAATTCGGTACTTTAGATTCAAACTTTTATGCAAGTTTCTTTGAAAAAGTTAAATTATTAATACACTTAATTTTATATTTTTTAAGTGAAAATTTCTTTTGGCTCACCGCATACACACTTTTTTGTCAGGCATTGAATGAATTTGATCTGTCATATTCCCAGATATAACACTAATCTTTTTACCTTAAGTATAGGAAATCTTAACGCAAGATTTTCAAATAAATTACAAAGGTGTGCACTGTCCCGCAGTGCATTCTTGGAAATCTTATGCCTAATAGATTGTTGATTACGCACACACAACTTGGTGTATTTTAAGATATAATATTATTCATACAGTTTAACTACTATCGGAACACAAACTGCAAACAGTTGAATAGAATCTTGCCAATAGTAATGACCCTAAAACAAAAAATAATTTTATATATATATAACATATAACTTATATATTACTTTTATTAATTTGTTGTTATATCATAAATGATAGAGTATTACAGATCTGGAGATTAACGCAAATAAAGTATATGAAATGAAAATTACATTAAAAAATTTTCATTTGGGCAGTGTGTGGTACCTGCAAATGTATAAAGGTTATTAAAAAACATTATAAAGTAATTAGTTTCTGTATATTAAATGGATAAAAGGAACGAAAAAGAGAAAGGAATAAGGATATTATATTAATTAGGGATTTTAAAGAAACTAATTACAATTATAATGTTTATGGTAAGCGGTCTTTGGCTGGGTTTTACTTGCAATGGAATGTATAACATATAAAATATGTTAAACATTATACTGAAAGTAAAACATCATTGCCCGGGTCTAACCACGAGGAGGTAACCGCTTCCGAAGACCCAAATTTGAATAAATATTCATTAAATTTGATTTGCCAGTAGTACGAATCGATTTTAACTCGTCAAAGTCTAACAGATAACTAATTAGAAAACATTATAAGTAATAGGAACAATTTACGTTTACGAAAAAAATAAGTAAAGAGACAGTCATGTAGCAAAATCATAAATGATTAACGTATCCAAATTGTTTTCTATTCGAAGTACTTTAATAGGTATGTAGTGTTTAAAACAATGTATATGCGTTGAAACTTATCTTAAATATAAGTAAAGTGTACTATAATATTAAAATAATTGTTAATTAATCGATAGAAATAATTACTGTAACGTAAAATTGAGGATGTACCTGCTTATGTASCTTCCTCTTCAAAATCTTCTGTTAGACTGAGACGTTGTCACATAAAAAAGCTTTTTATATCGACAGTTGTTTATATGGCTTTTTGAAAGTTGCGCATGTGTGTATAACGAAA